AACTCGGTTAAATTTGAAATTTGCCACTTGTTTTGTATAGTCATTTCAGTGGTTTTAGATTTGAAACACAGCATTTCTTTATTCTAGATCAGACTTAGGATTGGTGAGCAGATGGATTTAAATGCTGACTTGTTTAATGAAAAATTAGAAAGCTTAAAGAGAAGAGTCGAACAACTGGAATGCACAAATACCTATGAAGAAATAAGTAAAATATTCCTGGTAAGGGTCTTTGCACAATTGTGGGAATACTTTGCATGTGAATCACATATGACTATTATGGTACCTTAAAGACCCCAGAAGTATGCAAATTTTTCATTTTGTGCGACATAAAGACAAGTTGATAGTTCTGTTTTTAGCCTTTGTTTATGGCAGTTCTTTCACTGTCTACTCTTCATATGACATTAATATGTAAATTCCTTATTTCAGGTTAACTGTGTTTCTTAACTGCTGTGTTTGTTTTCTGTAGCAGAAGAAAGTAGCAAAACTGGAGAGATGTATTGATCCTGTGCTAGCAGCTCAGGGGGAAGTGTTCTCAGAACCAGCTGTTGCTCAGGTGTGATGCAGGTGCACTTGCTAACATGGGCATTGATGCCACTTGTACTGAAATCTCGTGGCTTTGACAGCTGTATTTGACAGTTGTTATTGCTTGCCTAAAGAACAGAAAAATGTAGACTACAACAGAGTTTTTTTCTGATGAAACAGTCTCAGAGGAGGGCATGGACACTACGTGTGTTGACACCTTCCATCAGCTGTTTAGTCAACCAATTGCATCAGAGCCATGAACTGCAAGTTGAAAACCACTTCCTTAGGCAATGAAATTAAAAATATGGAAGAGCAAATAAAAATATCAGTAACATAGCTCTTAATTATTTGTTATGAGAGGCATTGATACATTAGTACTAAAATGGTAAGATTACAAAACATCTTTTTTTTTGTGGGGACATCAGGAACATGAGGAACAGGAATTTCTCATGTCTTTAGCATGATTGCATTTTGTTGTGCTGAAAATCTTTTAGCTAATCTAGTGGGAGAAGTAATTCTGTGAATTGTCAGCCTCTTGTTTCACACTGACCATATATTGCAAGAAAAAAAATCCCTGTTTTACAGAAATATGTTTTTTTGAAAGAAGTCTTTGGAATCTCAGTAGTTTTGTTCTCATGTGACAGACATGCAGTCTTGTCTTCTTGTTAAAGGCTTTCACATGTTTTACAAAATTAGTTTCATATCTTCCTAGGCTTTTCCCAAAAACTGTAACCAAAGCATAAAACAGGATAAGGTCCAGTAAGATGCTTACAAGCCTCAAAATTTAAATTTTAATTTCAGGTTTTTAAAACAAGCTTAAAGTGTGAAAGCTTTTAAGAAAAGACCTCAAGCAATTAGATGATGTTCTAAACAGTTTGTTGTGAGCCATCAAGTGTTGCTTTTACTTGCCTGAACTTTTGGATATATTACTTGTATTTTTAAAATAATTTTCTGTTGTTGTAAGGAATTTAACAGATAGTGTTCCATTCTGCCAATTGCTAAGTAGTCTTGGAGACACTTGATAGAAGCCTTCCACTGAAATTCTGCATTGTTTTATCAGAATGAAAGGAAGGAAAGAAAACCCCAACAGAGCCATATAGAAGAAGAAAACCACAATGATAGTGAAGGTAAAAGAAAAATTTTGAAGTTTACTTTTCAGCATCTCCCTAAATTTAATGGCTGAGGTGTAACTCTGTAGAAATGTAGGTAACTGTAAGGAGAAGATAATTCTGTGGCAGCACAACACCTTGTCCATTGCTGTATTGGGGTTACCTGTCAAGGTTCTGGTCTTGGGGGATGCAGGGGTGGCTTCTGTGAGAACAGATCAGGATCTGTGGGATCACCTGGCAGAACCATTTCTAGCCCACCCAAAAAGGACCTTCCACTGGCCACAGCTGAGTTTAAATTGTGGATTTGCATCCTGCAGGACGGTTAGAGCTTGAGGGAAAAGTTAAGCTTGTTAAAGACCTTTTCGAGTGGGAAAGGAACAGTGCTTTAACAGTTGGGCTTTGAAGGAGAAGGCTTCCCTTTGGCCACGAGGAGGCTCCATTGTAACAAGATTGGAACAGTAAAACATTTTTCGACAGAAGCAAGCAAGGGATGCCAGGAGATACCATCGTCAGAAATAAACACACTAAAAACCCCAAACCTCAAAACCTGTTCCAGCCATCCTTCCCCCTTTATCTTCTTTTCCCACTGCTTTACCTTTTCCTTCCTTTCCTTCCACTACCAAATCTGTCATGCCTAAAAATGTTTAAAAACATTATTTGACAACAGGATTTAAACTTTTACCATAAGAGCTTTTAGGCTCTTCACTTCCAAAACAGTTTTAATTCTTCAATACTGATACTTTAAGTATTAAAAATTTACATGCTAAAAAGCAAATAAAAATACCTAAGTGATATTAAAAAAATCTCTCAAGAGAATGTGGCACTTTTTTTACTTCTTGCTGATAATAGGCTAAGAAGACTGAGTCTGTGAAGCAGTGCACACATTATGTTCCTACCATTTCCTTTGTAACAATATGGGCCTCCTTGGTTTAAATGAAGTTTTCTGAACTTCAGCATTTATGACAGCAACACAACTGTCTGATTTTAGAAATACAGTTTCACTTTGGGGGTTTTTTTGAAGAGAAATGGAACAAAAGCTTTCTTCAAGCAGCAGCAGTAAAACAGACCAAAATCTGCATCACACGATACAGTCTGGGCATCATCAGGATTGTTTCATACCTGTTGACATTTATTATAGCAGTGAATAATCCCATGAAGACATCTGCAGTTTTACTCATCTGTGCAATGTACACCTGTTTTAAAACTAAGCAACTAAGTACATTCACAAGTTTATGACTTTTTGGCTAAATTTATTGGGAGGGAGAAAAAAGAACACACGCACACACCTCCCTTTAGAAACTCGGGCAGTGCAGTAATGATCCAAAGTGAACAAATATCCCTCTAGATGTAACAGAAACCTCTCCAGCACTCCTTTTGATAGCACACAAGTTGTGGTTCTAAGTTGTTATTACTGGTGTGCAAGGAGTGTTTTCTACTTCAGGGAAAATCTTACTGGACAGATGGAAACATCAGCAACATGCTGAATATTAATACATGAACATTGGGTAATCTGGGCCACTGCTGTTAGGCTGGAAATACACAGCAGCAATTCAGTTTATGTATTTACATGAACCTAAGTTGGTATTTGTTATTGTTGTTGCACTAACAGCTGGTTTTGTCTTGGTGCCTAGGCTTTGAAGCAATTTCCACATCTTCCTCCGAGGATCCACATCTTGCCTTTCGTCCAGAGCTTGCTGAAAAATTTGAATCCTTAAACTAAAAGAGGCTTTTGTGTAAAATCCGAAGGGAATTGCACTGCCATGGGCCCTCAGAGGAACTGATCCAATGTGTGCTTCCCTACACAGTTACCACCTGGATCTGTTCCATTAAAACCTCAGGAATAATTCTGCATATCAGAATAGGCCAAATAAGGGCTTTGCCACTTTCATTGCCTTACTGTTCCCACAGGTTATCATCCCAGAAAGTCTCACTTCTTCATTCAATGAAAAGATCTATGTGGATGTGACAGACCATTTTGTGATACACACTCTATAACTACTTTAAAAACTCTTGAAGAGACCCAGAGTACCTTACTAAGTGGTCTGTTACTGTTCTGCTGTTCTGTACTATATTGTTACTTGCAGTGAATTTCAAGTTAAAAGTGTTATTTGTGACATTGAGACTGTAGAGGATTCATTTCCTCATGTTTCTTAATTGTTAGTGTCCGTTATGAATGTTATTCCATTTACTCTGTAAGTTTGATTCTATGGCCTTGGAAATGAAGTCTTGCTTTTAAAAGTAATTTACTTCCACGTTTCATTTTTTTTTGTCTTACTGCTTCAGAGGGGATTATTGCACATAGGAATGAAATGAAAAATAAAATTTTCGGCTTCATTATTTTATTTCAGCAGCATTGATGAACTATGATTTTAGGAATCTTAGCTCTCTTTAGTGTTTGGAAAAATAGTGGCTCATCTTATTCCTGATTTTAGAAATTATAGGAAGGATGTTTAGTTTTGTCTGCTTAGCCAAGTGGCACAAGTTTCCATGTTGCTCAAGGTAAGAACAGCTCTGCAGTCCTTCCATTATTTTGAACACATTAGGAACCACATAAATTATTGATGTAGCTGGGGTAAAAAAAAACAGTTAATGTCTAAGCAGCACAGATCCTGTCACCTACAGTGCTTTTGGTTTTTTAAAGGTATCTCATAGCAAACTAATGTACAACTTCATTTTCTCTTGTCCTGGATGGAATATATAAAGAAAAACATTTTTCTTTTTTTAAGTATCTTGACATAAATACTTTAGATTGTTTTTCCAAGTTTGTTTCCTGTACTTCAAGTGCTGGCTTGCTGGGTAAAAAATGTCAAGGTAGAGTCACAGATGCTACAGAATATTTTAAAAATTTGGACTTTTTTCTTTTGTTCACCATGATTAGAAGAGAGAAGTTTTATGGGGTTTGGGAAATTATTTCTGGGGAGCTGGGAGGAATGTTTTGAATGGATCTGTACAAACCTGTGTGTGCTGCTGGTTCCTCAGTGCAAACTTGAATTTTGGACCGGAGCAGATGCAGAAGTAACTGTTTACTCACATGGCCAAGGCACTCAGCCTCATCTTAAACACATGGCTGTTCCTAGAAATGATGAAAAATAACAAAACCCTTACAAGTAAACTACTTTTCAGGGCATCTGTGGATCCTGCATTACTCAGTAGCTATTGACATCACACATTTAAAGGTTCAATACACTGCTATTTTCTCTGCTTACCCTGAAAGGTCTTCAACAAAGGACAAAAATAGCTTGTGGTTCTAGTAGAGGCAGGAAGAATTTAATTTTACCTGTTCACACAAATACTCAACTATTTCTCATCCAGCATAGTATAAATATATCCCAAGCTTAAAGACAAGGTCAGATTGCTAAATGTTTGCTATTACAGTACAAGAATGTTTTATTTTCATGTACATTCCAGTATATATAGAGTATAGAAAAGGGTATATTTTAAAGGCATATCAGGTAGAAAGAATATCCTAAAATATGTTTGTCCTGCTAAAAATTCTAGTTCACTGGTTTGCTACTTGTGGTTTTGCTGTGCAGAACATTCCTGAATGTCTGTTCTATGTGGCATCTTGTATACGCTGCTGTTTGTACTCAAGTATTGGTGTTGTGCATCAAATGTTTGTTGTGTGTGTGCTTTTCACTTTTAATTAAAGGGACAGAGCTTTAATGTGGAATTAATCTGTGTGTTCATGTATATCTACATCTGTATTTTAAATACTTGCTCTGTAAATGACCTGAGCATGATCAAGGCAAGAAATTGAAACATCTCTGCCAGTCAGTGGTATAACAGCTAACTTAGAATTTTACAGGACTGTCCTCTAGGTACAAGTCAGTTGTAATCCATATTTGCTTAAGAATTTCTCTTTTTCATGTTTTAATAAATCTAGAAAAATGCCTAGCAAATGAGTCTATCTTCTTTCATCCTTAAACCTGCATCTATTTAGTGAAGACAAATTCTGCTTGCAAGCAAAAATTCAGGTTTTGAACCTGAAATGTATTCAGCAAACTGTAAAACCACTTTTTTTAAAAGTAGGGTAATAATTTTTGAAATTCAAAGCACTCCCACTAAGAGGAAAAAACATGACATAATACTGTAGCATAATGATAGACTGGGGAGAATGCATTTTCTTCAAACTGATTTGGGTTTTTTATTATTATTTTAGTGTGTTGTCCTTGCTCATCCTAAATTTTTAACAGTCTTGTTGGGATTTCTTTGTTCCCAAAAAAGACAAGTAGTACATGCCAAATCATAGTAGGGTGTTGAAGGAATGAAGATGGAACTATATGACCTATTACTGATGTTGGAGACCATTCCTATACAGTTATGCACCTGAGCTTTTTACTCTGGGATAAATCAAGGATAAATCTGAAGGAATCAGGTCAATAACTAGCTTACTACATCATAATCATTATCCATTAACTGATGTATAATGTAGTCAGCATTAACTCCAGTAGAGCTGCACTACTTTGTGAGACTGAATTTCTTCTAAATACCTCATTCAAAACCTATTCTGCTATTTTATTGCCTGGGTATTGGGCCAGCTCTAGTGAATACACTGAAATAAATAAGTGGTTAGAGCTTTTAAAAAGTCAAATCTGTACTTAAGCATCAAAGCTGTGACTAACCAGAAAAGGCCACTTCATTCATTCTCCACACTGATCTCCCAACTCCAGAATCACCATCACCCAAAGTCAGTATTACACTGCCGAGCAGCTAAGCCTGGTATTACAGCACAGATTTAGCTCACAAAATTACTGAAAAATAAAAACCACCAAGTCATTTTATCTTGAAAACCTAGTCTGGAATTCATAAGCATAGTAATTGCAGTCTGATTTGTTTAGTAGTAGTGTTTAGTTCCAGTAAAATCCACAAAAGAATTTAAAATTAATTTTTTAAAGGCCAATTTCCTAATGGGCAGACTCAGGGAATGCTTTTGTAAAGGCCATATTAACCATGAAATCACTACATGATAAGAGTCCAGTGTAATAACCATGCTGAGTTTGGCTGTAAAAACCTAAATTTGGCATTGCTTGATCACTAATTTGCTTGGAAAGCTGCAGATGAAGGCACTGTGATGCTTGTTTTCCTGTTCTACCCTGCAGAAAGGCTACACACAAGGCAAAAATAAAGGGATTTAGGACTGGAGTGGGGTATTCCTTAACTGCTCAGACTGTGCTGGTCCCAGCTGAACAGTGAATTTGCCAGTGAGTTCTCCCGCCAAAGGGTCTGTGCTTAAATTAAATGTGAAAGAGAAGAAGAGAAACATTTGCTGGAGTACAAAAAGGAGTTGTTTACTTTTGCAAAGCAAGTGGTTTTAATAAAAACTTGATGACACTTACTGCACATTACAAAGAGCAGAACACTGGTCCAGTGCCAGGACAGACACTCTCAGTGCAGCTTTGGGCTTTATAATTCTTTCCTTTTTCATTGTGATCTGGGCCTCATTTTTTTACACCCCCTTATATTTAACATATTCCAAAGGGATACATCTGGTCCAGGAATACAGTTAGCATACTGCTTATAAACTAATTTGCACGGGCTTTATTTGTAATCTTCAAGAGGCCAGGAAGAAACTGTTAATGTCTGGTAAAGGGAAAACCATTCATATGATGATGAAATATGTAAAAGAAACAACCTGGCTCTGTCCTGCTCCGACTCCTCACCTGTAGGTGCCCGGTGTCCCATTTCAACTGCCTTCTTTTTTTTTGTGATTTGTTTCATATCAAGAACACAGTACATTTTTAGAGAAACAACACCTTTACTACAAAACCACGTAAAGGATTATATACAAAATGGTTACTGGAATTTGGTTTTGTACTGCAGTGACAGAAATAACTAGCTGCTGACATTTATTTACGCTTCCTTAATACTAAGTACATCACACCACTGATCAGGGTAAAGGCAAAGGCAATCCAGGCTAAGACAAATGAATAGCCATATTGGCCTTTAGAAACTTCCATCCTATATTCATAGCTCTGGTGCAGTTCTTCGTGCCTGTCTGTGTAAATGGAAGCTGCAATCATAACACACAGACCTGGAGAAGGAAGAAAATAATAAAGTTTAGCATCTTGAAATATTATCTCTATATATATAACTATTCACTGTCTCTCTTCTGTCAGCTGCTTCCACCAATGTCCTTTCTTTGCAGACACTTGTTTTCCATCCTCAGACTAAGCTGGAAGCATTTCAGGACATATTCTCAGTTTCTTTGGCATGGATTAAATTTGAAATGCTGTTGTGTATCTGTGTCATTTGCAGTGAACAGAAAACAATTCTGAACATCTGGATAGTTCTAAAGACTGACAAAAAACAGAGTACCTGCCTGTAACAATTACAGAGTTATTTAACTTGTTCAAGAAGTTCAGAATCTCAAATTCTTTCCCTTCCAAGTTTAAATTACTTTATTCTGAGCAGTGATGACATCCATGTTTTAACTGCCTCAATATTAAAGAATGGAGCAGTTCACTGTTTAAACAAATATGAAGGATAAGCTGTGGCCTCAAGAGCCCTACAAATTCCTCATGCAGCTCATTCTTTTTGAAACCTTTTTCCCCTTCCCTTTCCTTACTTTCACGAAAACATCATTAAAGTTACAAGTGTTGAAAAATCACTCACATGACAGGAGTTGGATGATTGAGGTTAACACAAATCTTTCTCCTTGCTTGAGACGGAAGAGCTGAAGAATGAAAACCAGAAATGCCACACAACAGAAGATAGTAGATAGGATCATGGCAGCCTGAACGGCCTGAATCGATTGATACTCTGCAGAAACAAAAGCAGCCTTGATTAAAAATAGTTTCTCTCTTCGGCTCCTCCTGCAGTGAGGGGCAGAGCTATGTCCTGGAAGCAGGAGTCCAGCAGACACAGCAAACCCGTTGTGCATTGCCTTAGGGTGGTTCTTCCCTGCTCCCTTGGTATTGATGCAGTCAGTGGTTTGAGGACTCTTAAAAGCTTCTCATAAAACTGAATAAAAATACTGAAGAGGCTGTTCCTCCCACACCACATCCTTTGCTACCATCAGTGTACTAAAAGCACAGTGCAACTGCCAGCTGTCCCAAATGGCTCACAAAGGCAGACCCCAGCCTCCAACCAGACCTGGAGACAGCCCTATCCAGGAGATGTAACCAGACAGGATATCCACACTCGGCACAAAAGATTACTCCGATCTGGATTTTTATCCTGTCAGTGACTTCCCTGTAACCAGGAGCTAAAGTAACCAATACATTTTTAACTACGTGTAGCTGTAACTTCGCAGCCATGCTCCAGCCAGGCTGAGCTCCTGCAGCCCCTCTCCTCCAGCACAGCCACTGCAGTCTGAGCTCTGGGAGCAGCAAACATTCCTGAGATACCCATCTGAGATACCAGTCTGGGGACCTGCCTGCAGTGGATGCACAGCAATACATCAGATGCAAACCCTTAAATCCGTGTGTGATGTGGATCATCTCACTGCAGGTTAGAGGCCCTGAACCAACCTGATGCCTCAAAAGCAAAATTACTTCATGGGTACACAGCTCTTCAAATTATCTACCTCTTCAATATACACCCAGGTTGAATGTGCAGAAATAAAGCAAATGTAACATTTGGGAACACATTTATTTTTTGTAAAGCAGGATATTATGCTGGGTTGTATATTAATGCCTCCTTGTTAAAACTCCAGCTTGTGTTCTTTCTTCCACTTTCCCCCTCATTCTTATGCACAGCCAATATTTTTAAGTTCTTCTTTGCAAGTTCAATTGAGGCAAATTCTATCACTTCAGTCAGATTCAGATGACTTTACTGTTTTTACCCGATCTAATTTTTTAACTACTCTTTATAGCACTTCTTGTTAGTTGTTTGTGTTTACTCTCTTGCACTGGGCTTTTAAATGCATGTGACAGTTTCTTCTGCTTTCCTCTCACAGAAATTGCTGGAACAGCTGCTTTTCCAAAATCAAAAATCAGTATTAAAGTTCTTAGAAGACCTGTGCAGTTAGAGCATGCAGATTTTTGAACAATTACATTATGGCCTCTGCAGATTTCATAGCAATTTCACCAGACCTGCTAAAGAAACAGAACATAGGCACGGAGAGACACTCACCTCTGAACTGATCAGTAATAGCCAGACAGGTGCTAGTGTTCGTGGTACACATTCTCCAGACATCTGTAGAAAAGTTATCTCCTACCCACCAGGCCTGCAAAGTAAAAGTAAAGGGCTCTTACAGGGAAAAAATTCAAAAAATCTCACAGAATTCCTTAGTTGTCCATCAATTGTACAACAGCTGGAACGATTTTCTGTTCGTTTTTGATACCTAATCACTCAAACTAAATTTGAGATTTAATGGCCTTTTGGAATAAGGGGTGTATCATCCCCATGTCATTCTCATTTTAGATCTCTGTAAGGTAGGAGAGGGAATCTTAAACATCCCAAAGCACAAGGGATTTCCTCTGTTTGGGCAGAAATTTTGGGTCCTCAGTGACTGCTCTCTCTGTAAGACACCTAGGCAAGATCTGCTTTGTACATCCAGACCCTGTTTAGGATGCACACCTCTTTGAAGGCACAGCATTTGCTAATTTGCAGGAAACAGCAGGGTATACATCTATGAAACAGAATCCTTTATAAATGTTCTGGTTCCTGGCACTGATAAATCTCAGTGTAATGCAGCTGTGCTGTCAATGGACAAATGCAGTATGAACACTTTGGCATCTGACAAATTAAGATCCTCCTGTGGTATTTCTGTTTTGAGGTTTTAACATTCCAGGCAAAATGGCACTGCAGTGTCTGAACAGATTTTTATGGCAGCCTGCAAAACGACAAGCACTCCACACAAGTGGCATTTCCTCAGGAAACCCATTCCCGTTCCAATAGCTACCCAGGCCTTTGTTTTGACTAGAGTTGTACAAAATATGACTTTTAAATATGACTCCTGGTAGGATCTGCTGCTGAAAGAGACATTCCAGAAACCTCACAGCTTACTGTGCAGCTTTGCAAACAATACTGCAGTAAAAACTATAATATATTATGGTAGCAGGAATACGTGTAATAACAATGCTGTGTTTTAAGAAAAAGCATTACTTTCTCAGGATGCCATTCATTTGGATTTTGCAGTCCAAGTTCAATATATTATTTTTCAACTCTGAGCACTATATAATCCTTTCAGAGTTATTTTCATGACTATAAAAAGCCTCTTAAGATCATTAAATCTAGCAGAAGGTGGTTCCACAGTTTTTAAGTTTGCAATTCTTAAAAAGTACCTAATGACAAAGCAGGGGTTTATTTCTGTAATAATTTGGTTTGTATGTAGCAGACTTGAACTAAGAATAAGTTGCTTTGCTCACTGTCCTTGCTTTCTAAATATTCAAAGGAACAGGGTAAGACAACCTGCTCTAGTGCTCAATTAATGACCTACCTCCATGGAACAAATCAACCAGCTGACTGAAAGATAACATCTGAGTTTGTACAACTTTGCAAGAAATAGTTGTGGGTAACACATCATTTCATTTGGAGCATAGTCTTGGAAAAGACCATGGGATTCAAACCAGCTTCACTCAACAGTGAAGTATTTTCAGCAGCAAATTTTTTAATCTCAAAAGCCTGTACACACCAGACCTCTTGGAGGAAGAAAGAGCACAGACTACTGATCAGGACAGTGGGCTCTTTTGGAAAGAGGAAAAGTCAATTAAAAGCTAGATGTAAATATTGGAAGGGAAATTCTTCCTGGTCACAAAAATAAAATGGAAATTTGAAAAGAATACAATAGAAATTATTCTAAATCTGTGTGCTGAAACTGCTTCAACTGTATAGACACAGGAGGGGTCTTTCATGATTTACCGGGCATCTTGGACAACCACTTCTGAGGCAAAGCACACCGTGACTGAAATTATCCCCACACATTAATCATGAGCTGTTTGACTTCATATACTTGACGTAAAAGGACAGTAGATTTCCCCCCGTTTTCCTCATATCCAGCTGAACCAAGTCCCATAGCTCCACCTTACGTGCTTTCAGTAAGCAAGTTGAAGACAACTAGAGAAGAAAAACTCTATTTTTATGAAGCGAAGAAACGCCTGCAGGTTTGAGAGAAAAAGAGAAGAAATGGCACTTACATTGTCAATAGTTGAGATGAACAGCAGTGCTGCTGAGGTTATGTGAAACACAATAATGAAAGCCAGGAGAATCAACATCCTTGCTCTGGGGAGGCTTTAGTCTGAGATCAATCTGTCAAACAGAAGGGCAAATAGGAACAATCTTTAAAAGCTGTCAGTGAATTAACCTGCAGTTACACTGCTTCGCTGTGGCTCTGAGCAGTCCAGGTCAGCATCAGTGGATCTCAGAGTGAGGTGCTGTTAAAGAGTCAGGAACATCGGATGCAGTTTGAGTTCCACAGCACAAGTTCTACCTCCAGAGATACTTAACTGGCATCACAGGTGTTAAAAGGAATCACAACTTGAAATGAAGCCAAGAGGTGCATTTTGCAACCTTCCAGTGAGATGGCTGCAGTGAATAAACACACAGAGAAGTTTCTGTCTGTGTGCTTCTCCAGCAAGGATGGAAAAGTCTTTCATGTTAGCTTTTAGAGCAGTGCTTTTAAAATTACAGCCTCACGTGCACATGATGCTGGAACTTCCACAGGCTACAGCAAAGTCTTCTTTCAACCATCCTTTCAAAGATTTCAAAAAGATGCTTGTAGAACAAAATTAAGTGCATCAAGAACTACCTCCTAGATTTAGTAACAACTGTGTTGTAGCTTAGGTCTCATGTCCTTTGTTAATACAGTTGAAAGTTTTATCCACTAAATAATGTAATGCCTAAGGACTATCATTTCCTTCAATAGATTGCCTTGACTGGTAGGGCTGAATAAACCCACTAGTCCTGTAATAACCCAGTTAGTTATTTTATGTTCAGTCACTCTCTGTAGGTTACCAATTATCTTTATACCTTATTTAACCCAATTCCTACAATTTCACATTTCACATAAAAAAATGTACAAGCAAGCCAGAAACTGTACTTAACTGGAATTCCTAGAAAATCTGCAAGCACAAAACAAATAGGGTAGAGAAAAATACTGTTACTAACAGACAGAAAAGTGCAATTGCTTGCTATATCTATTTCTTTCTGTGTAGAAACACTTGCCAATTAATATATGTTATATACTATAAGGAATGTGCAGTCTTGCAGATCTTCTCTTTGCATTTAAGGTGCACAGTTCTGTACATTATCTGCATGTTATCATTCATCAATACATTAATGCATGTTTCTCCCCTTCCTTTGCTTTGGACACATCTCATGTCAAATGATCCACTCATAACACAGCAAATATTCAGAAGAAAGGGAATTTATGATTTTTTTTTTTCAGGACTTCCATGATTTTGTTAATGTCTAAGCCCCTTTCTTCTGCTATTTACTACAATCATGAACCCCATGGATAATTTAACCAAATAAAAGGACTATTTTGACAGCATTTTTTAAAGCAATTCCCACTGGGTCAAAATATAACTACTCTGCAAAACTTCAACAAGAACATAATCAACAGTGTAAGAACACATTGAAGTGAGACAAAAATTCCAGACTAATCCTTTACATCTCCACTGCAGTACAGTGTTACAAGATCAAAGGCAAACAGTATGAAAGTGTTTCTGAGAAAAATGATGGGATAACCTTATACCCATATCTAATTGCAATGACTGAATGGGAGAGCCAAGTCAAATCCTAAAATAGGAAAAGCAGCTACTCAAGTCTGTATTCCTTCTCATTTCCTCTCTGTTAAACTTTGCCTTCTCGGCCACAATAAAGAACAGAAAGTGACAATTTCCTCCAACAAGCCCATTCTGCTGCATGACTCAAGGTCCTCTGAATCCAGTTCTGCTTCTAGAAATGTCATTCATGGCTCTCCATCGAGCCTTGCTTGAATGAAAGGAAGGAAGAAGGAAAAGAAGATATTTTGTGGGTTTGTATAATGCCACACCAAAATATTTTCATTGTGAAATGTACCAGTGTTTGCACAGCACCCCTCTTCTCTTGTGGTTGGTTTTTTTCTGAGTTTCATTTCTTGCACTGATGGTATCTAAGCAGACAATAATGCAACAGTCATTTGCCATATAAGGAGAGAGAATCAAATTATACTCAGTATTATTTTAAGAATAACAATACAATTTCATCTTATTACATGAAGTATCACAAAGTAAGAGAGACCGGAAAACATAACCTAATTAAAACTCATCTTGCAAAATCAAGACTTGTCGGCACAGAAAAATCCACTTAATCTTCAGTCAAGTCAATGTTTTTGCTTTACTGTTTTCAGCCATAAACAGAAGTGTTTCAAACAGGATGGATAAACATGTATGGCTGATGAGGAGAAGAAAACATTTTATGTTTTACCCAAATAAAGCCAAGATTGAATGAAACAGACTTTTGTTTTGTGTGCACACAGATACATGGATACAGGGATTAAGTACACTGGGGGAAAGGAAGGAAAAGCTGTTTCCAAGTAATTAATACCAGGAAAAGACAGCAAGAACCAGTTATCCAGGAGAGATCCAGAGAAACTGTGTGATCTGTGGGCAGGAAGCAAAGAGCAGCTGTCCTCTCCTACGATGCAGCCAAGCAATGACACAGAAGCTACTACAGTATCTGCATCCCTCTCAAGGCAGAAATTCTGGATTTGATCTCTCAGAAGGAACTATTAGTCCTCCTTCACTCCAGACAATGCTGAAATTTAAAAGCTCACTTTGGAGACTCAAGATCCTTCCACTCCCTCAGCAAGAACCTCTTTCTCCTCCAAGGACAAAGCCTGGTACCTCTCCCAGGTAGCAGCAGGCAGCTCCTTTCCTCTCCCTGTGAGCAAGGGAGGGGAACAGTTATGTCTTCACATGGAGAATTTCTGAGAACACCCTTTGCATTAAGATTCAGAATTCTAATAATGTATTACTAACCAAACACCTTGGTTACATCCCATTCTGCAGACTAGCTGGACTCCTCTTTGTTTCTTATTCACTATTACCTGTTTCTCAAGGGCTTTCTTCAGGTTCACAATTGTTCCCAGTTCTTTTCTCAGCAGCTGAAGCCCCTTTGGAAGCTGCCACCTGCCAGGGGCTTTTGCCTCACTCTTTTAAAATGGAGGGTACCTGCAAGAGCAAACTGCTGTTTAACCTGCCTGAACCAATTCTGCTCAACAGAACCATCAGCAGTTCAGGGTTAGATTAAAATCCTATCTTCTCTTACATTTTATTTAATTGAATTAATTTATGCAAAATATTGCTTAAAAGGGGTTGTCTATAAGAAGAGCAAATACATTTTTAAATCACCTGAATTTGGGAATCTTGTACTTTGCACTATTAAGTGAATGGGAATCTGCAAACAGCTGTATTAAGAAGATGCATAGAAATGATCAGACTCTTTCAAGTAAAACTCTGGTATCTGTGTGATGTGATAGGGGGCTCTGTAGTAATTTTTTCCATTGCTATTTAGCAGCTTTGGAAGCACTGCCCTATTATCAGTGCTAATACATCCTGCTTTAAAGGCTTCTTGCTCTTGCAGGAGCCTTCTCTTAAATGAATCAATGCTCAACTCTTCTGTTTTAGTCTCTTGATTACGGGCAAAATGAAGAAAAGCTCCCTGGGCAGAGTGATTTTTCATTTTCTCTCATTTGCAGTGGTACACACTATGCTCTCAAGTCAAGGAGTTCATGATTTTAAGTACACTGCCTTCAGGCACAGATATCGTTCATCATTTCCCGAAGTGGTCTGAATTCTTTTAATAGTTTTCACACACACACACACATAAGAGAAAGGCTTTTTGGACACACTAAACTATCTTTTAACAGAGATGATGGAGCCACTCTTCCCAGAAGTACATGATGAAAAGACTAGAGGCAACAGCCACAAGTTGCAACAAGGAATACTCCAATTGTGAAAAAAAAGTATTAATTATATTCAATGAGCATGATTAAGTACTGGAACAGAGCCCAAGAGGCTGTGGGATCTCCATTCTTGGACATTTTCCTAACTTGACTGAAGCAAGGCCCAGAATGTCCTGAACTAACCTCCTGCTTGGAGTTGGAGTCTGCACCAGAGACCTTCAGAGGCCCCTTCCAGCTCTGCTCTCCTGTCAAGCTGCAGCTATTTCAGCAACATCCCTCTATGAACCTCCAGCAAAGCTCTGACAAAAGAGAACATTACATTTGACTTAGCTCATCACCTGTGACATTAAAAACAGATTTGAGTGCCAGAGTAAGAGTGACATTGGATGTCAACCTGAATTCTTTCAATTGCAAGGCTCAGCACTTAACACCACAAAGGATGGGGTAAGGCAGAAATGCACAGGTCCTGCTGAGCAGCAAGTGCAGACTGCCACTGAACCCAGAGAGAGTGAGTTATGAGAATCCCACTGAACAATCCAGATTTGCTGTGGTAATAAGGTTTCCCACAAATGCTGTTAAGTTGCAGGATACTTACACAAAACACATGGAAAACAGAAGGCCAGTTGTATTAACAGCAGAGGGTTTTTTCAATGGGTGCAGAAGAACTGTTTCTGGGTAATACTCCAATGCTACCTTGTTTTGCACAGGGAGGATAAACACAGCAGTCACACAGATTGTTAGAAGCAGTAGTTTGCCACCTTCCATGTGAGAGCCTGATGAGCTTTACAAGAAGTGGCTAAGAAGGGCCTTTGCTCGAATCTTCTGGACAGGCAGAGACAAGTACCTTCATACGAGATAGAACAGTACAACAATCACAGAAAGTGCACAGTAAAATAAGGTATCCAGGCCAGGGTTTCCAACATTTCTGTACTGTACTAAGCAAACATGTTACAAAACTGGATTGCCTCCCTATGTCAAATTACACATGCACACACTCCCCTGCAAAAAAAGCCTCAGTTTATCTTTAAGATTAAGTTTATCTTTAATGTCCATCAGTACAAAGAAACATGACTATTTGATTTTTTTCTGCTGTTTAGTACAGCATGTAAGCAAAAATGAAAACAGTCTTTGACAGTTCTTAGCAGAAGTTTTATCACTCCTTTCCAGCCCAGATGTCATCTCCACAACACATGCTTTCATTCCTTCCCATGCAGTTCAGCTCTGCTGCCAGGCTGTTTCTCATGGTTGTGCATACTTGATTTTTGCAACCAGAGAAACACGTCCATAGTACAGTATGTTTATCCTGTGCTCATTTGCATTGGAAAGGCTAAAGCTTACCCTCCAACACTGGCTGCTGCCC